AATATATTAGTATATATGATATATTGTATTAAAAGCACCACAATTACAAAAACATTGCAGAATATACATTGTATATATACTGTACGTAATACAGGACTACGAACAATTCAGTTTAGTTGAACTGGCTGTGTTTTACAAGCACTGTGTTGATTATTGAGGCTTATTACACCTTTTACAATTGCGTGCTAAATGAAGTGTAGGGAAAAACTGAATTCTCATATAAATAAGATACAAATATCTGTCTAATATTCTGGTACAGACATTGAAAAAAACTTACAATTACACTTTAGTCAAACGTGAACATTTTCATTTAAACCCACTCATGGCTAGCTATCGGTTCTATACTTCCATTCAGTTCATACAGTTCGCTGCCCTGATAGCTAACTTCCTTGTACTGCCAGCATATTTTTCATATCCAAGCCATTAAAACTACAAGACAAATTTTCCTATGTTCCAAGCAACCCCTTCTTTAACTCTCACAGAAAGCTAGCACAGAATAGAAAGAAATGCTAAGAGGTTGCAGTCCTGCTCAGCCTCACTCAAAAGCACTGTGAAAAGCCTTCTCAATCTGGCTGGATTATATCAAAGTTATATGAAAGGCAAGCTATGTGAGATGTTGGGCTTCAGCACAGCTGTAATATTCCCTAAAGAGCTTCAGTGATGTACTGATGAAAACTATGCGTTGCTCTGAGATGTTCTAACACGCAAAACTCCACTTTTGTTGAGAAAAGAATCATTCTACTGAACTATACAAAAAAAGCATTTTGCAAACTTCACAGCAGAGTCTTATTTTTCTCTGTTCTGAAGATATTAATGTGAACACTATCATGCCCTTACTGAAAATTACTGAGAAGTTGGAAAATCTGCCACCTGATGTTACCACCTGAACAGATTTAGAGGCAGAAATAATCCCCCCCACACACACCTTAGGGCACTTTGAAGATATATTACCAAAAGTGAAATTGGGTGCTTGAAATTTAACCTCAAGCTCTGTGCAAGGTTCTAAGGCTCCATGTACTGTACACAGGACATTTGGAAAACACTTCTGAACGATGGAAACTGACTGCTGGAAAACATCTGTTTAGCCGCGTTTGCATACAGCGTTTATGCGTAAAAAATTATCTATTTCAGACATTTTGAGAGAAATAGAGAGAGCAGAAGCAGAGAGAGCAGTATGTGTTGAGATTACCTATCTTTTCTGGTTGTATTCACTATGGATCCCATCATGAGCATAATGCAGCACGTTCTACCATCTTTTCCTTCATGCAAAACCTGGAACTGACTGCGCTGGTGTTCTAGGTCCATTTGAATACATGGAAAATGTTTTGTATGTATTTCTGATGATGAAAAAAGGCTCTGGACAGCATCTGGATATGGAACAGTTAAAAAATGCTTCTACACGCAAATTACACGCGTTTGGCATTTGAAACGCTTATAAAATCTACTCCTGAACGCAAGTTTGGTGCGTTCAAAAAACTACTGTAAACTCAACTGCCTGTAAACCACATAGTGTACATGGACACAGGAAAACAATAGGGAGAGTTCAAGGGCTGCTGAAAAAAATGCAGAAAACCTCCTGAACATGAGTTTATCAGCTGCAGTGTACATGAGCCCTAAAGCTGGCCAAACACTTACAGTAACACTAGTAAAACTAAGCAATTCCTCCATGCACACCACACATTGCAGATGGATGAATCCCCTGCTGTGCTTATTGTCAGTGGCTTATTTAGGTTTTGTGCTGCCCTAGGCAACACAAAAATTGGCACCCCCCCCCCCCCCCCCTTGTAGAAAGAGCCTGACATTGACAACACCCCTGCCTCCCGTCCGAGAGAGCCTTGAGAGAAAGACACTACCATTCACAGCTCTGGACATCCCCGGGAATGAGAGTCGGGCTGTGCATACACCGTCATGAAACCCGCAGCATCTCTCGGAACCCACCCGGTCCCCATGCCGCGTGTGTCCCTTCTTCCGTCCCTTCTTCCGAGGGGCAGTGCTGCCCCCCCTGAAAAATGCTGCCCTAGGCAAATGCCTTGTTTGCCTTGTGGTAAATACACCACTTCTTATTGTATTATAACAGCTGTCAAAATACCCAAACAACGGCTGCATCTGATTGGATGCAGCCGCTTTTCAACTGACAATGTTCCATCCGGCTGCTGTAGTTTTTCGATTGAGGGATGCCAGACAGGAGGGCAGCCAACAAGGCTACCTACCGAGTGGATTTCATACAGTGTATGACCAGTTTTAGAAACTCAGCAAACAATTCACATAAATAGGATATTACACTGTACATGGCATTGTGTATATTTACAGTTCACAGAACAACCACATTATATTATGGTATAATAACACAGAAGCAACAATATTTTTAGCAAATGAGAGTGGCACCAATTTAAATAGAATGCTGTTTAAAAACAAATTAAAAAATTGCAGGGAACTTTAATGCAGGGAATTGTTATAACCCCTGTCAGTTTTTTTTGTATTTGCTGTCTGTGTCACATTGGGTATATTTTCCTTCTCTCTGTCTTGAAGATGCAATATGGGGAGGAAATGTTTCTAAAGTTAAGGAAATCCCCTCTTTGGCAGTTATCACCTTAACAAGTGAGCCCGTAGGAAGATTTTAGCAGGAAATCCATTCCTTATGTCCTGGTGACAACCATACCGTTCCACAGGGACATTGGAATAAAAACATGACAAAGGTCCCAATCCTATCTCACTCTATGCTCCATTGAATAAAACAGTATTGGCTAGAAATACACCTTATTGCCTGCTAATCAACACATTGCAAGACAATACCATGCTACTCTCCATGGCAAACTTATATAGGGGTTAGGTCTGAGAGATACCTGGAGAATAAAGCATCTCAACAATTGCTTTGGTCATCCCATACACACGTTTCACTTTCTAGAACTGAATTGGCCTTTGGAAATAAAATATTTTTTCTTCATACTGCATCTTATTCATAGCAAGCCAAAGGCATTTCACTAATTATAGAACAGATTTTTGGTGAAGCCTTACATAACAGATTATGGCAGAGCTTGCTGCCTTTGCATCACTACAAACTAGAATTCTGCCAATCTAGGGTTTGAAATTTGGTAACCGCTTTGGAGACCACTCCCATCCATCCATTGATTTATATGTTTAAACTTCCAATAAAATTTCTTAAACTTACAGCATGAGGTGCATTATTCTGGCCACCAGGCACTCCTCCCTCCTTCCTTGACCCAAAAACTTCTTGCTGAAATGACTACAATGTCATAGCATAAGGGTAGCAGCCCAAACCCCCAAGGAGGTCCTTTATCACCACCCACCATTGGGTTCGACCCACTGGAAGTGTTCCCTTTTACACTCCCGACAGAACCACCTACCAACTATAAGTGACAATCAAATCAGTCCAGCATGTTCTCCAGCCCAAACCAAATAACAGACTATGGAAAATTGATCCTTAATGCCTTCTAATACCATAGCCATGCAGTTAGGTGAATTCCTAGACTTTTACAATGCCTCTGACATTGTGTGTGGTATTTTCTCAAAGCTTTTTTTTCTGGGGTCCTCTTATGGGATACATTAACACACCCTTAAACCATCACCTTAGAATTGGGGCACAGAGCTATTGGAAACAGTTAAGGAGGCTGGGAAGTGTTTTTTTAAGAAGTGTTTTATTTTGAGTATTTTTATTCACCTGTACTCATGAGGAACTAACTGAAGTAGTAAATTGCTTAATTATGGCTCACAATGTCTTCCAACATTGTTAGATACTTTCATGTAGTTGGGTCATTTGAGTTTGGCCTTTTCTTCCTTCTGTATCTGAGGCCATTGTTGATATACTGCCTAAATGAGAAAGGGAGCATTCTCTAATGTCTGTAGGTGCTTTAAGTGCCGGAATATTAAAAGAGAAGGTAGTGGTATGGTTTGCACTACAGCTAGAGCACTGCTTCCCAATTCCTCTTCAGGCTGTATCTGACAACTTTATAGAGGTTTAGCCAAGTCCACAAGGCTTTACAGATTTACAATTTTAGGGGAGACCTATGCCATAGTGGAAACTAAGACAACAGAATTGTACTTAGAGTGAACTTTTCCTAGAGAGGAACATGGGGGTTACCATTGCTATCCATCTTTAAAAAACAATTGTCTGGTTGCTATGCCTGTCTGTGCACATTGAGGGTTCACCACTGACCCTGACTGGATAAAAACTGGGCTGAATAAAAAAAACGTACTGAATAAAAACTTGTTTTGGGCAGAAAGTGACCCATGGCTGTAGTTTGGAGACCCTTGCTCTATGCTATAAAAAATAAGAGAAGGGTAGGTTATTGTAGTCCTGTCCTAGGGTGACAATGCTGCTTCAGTCTAGATATACACTCAGTGAATGTTATCATCCTAGGACAGGAAAAATGTTACTGGCAAAATCAACAGGTAAAAAAAGCCTGCATACAACCGCCTCATCTAAGGACTGGGCTGCAATATATGAAATTTGCATTCTTGGGTATACATATAATTTAAGCTTGCATTGTGTAATATCACATATTTAATCAGCATGATACTTGGTAAATATATTACAGTTGTGCACAAAAGTTTGCACACCATTGGAGAATTGGTAATATACAGTATGTACCATTTTAACCACTAGCCTACAGGGCACTTATACCCCCTTCCTGCCCAGTCCAATTTCCAGCGCTGTTGCACTTTGAATGACAATTGCGCAGTCATGCAAAACTGTACCCATATGACATTTTTTAGCATTTTTGGGACAGATAGAGCTTTATTTTGGTGGTATTTAGTCACCTCTGGGTTTTTTATTTTTTCTTAAACAAACCAAAAACCACTGAAAATTTTGAAAAAAAAAATGTTTTTTCTTAGTTTTTGTTATAACATTTTGTAAATAAGTGATTTTTCTCCTTCACTGATGTGCGATAATGAGGCTGCACTGATGGACACTGATAGGTGGCACTAATGGGCACTGATGAGGAGGCACTGGTAGGTGGCACTGATGGGCATTGGACAGGCATCACTGATGGGCACTGAAAGGCAGCACTCATATATGGCACTGATAGGCGGCACTGATAGGCAGCACTGACGGGCACTGATAGGAGGCACTGATGCACACTGATAGGCGGCACTGACTGGCACTAATAGGTGGCACTGATTGGCAGCACTGATAGGTGGCACTGACTGGCATTGATAGGTGGCACTGACTGACACTGATGGGTGACACTGAAAGGCAGCTCAGATGGGCACTGATATGTGGCATTGATGGGCACTGAAATGTGGCACTGATGTGGCACTGATGGGCACCGGCAGGTGGCATGGATGAGCACTGAGAGCTGGCACTGATGGACACTGACAGGTGGCACTGCTGGGGCTACATAGATCATCAGGGCACACTGATCATCAGTGCTCTGATGATCTGTGTACATGTCCCCTCCGAGGAATGCCGATTACCGTCTCTCCTCTCCTCGCGAGCTGTCAGCGTGACAGCTCGTGGGGAGAGAAATGCCGATAACCGGCATTTCCCTGCTTACATGTGATCAGCTGTGATTGGACACAGCTGATCACATGACAGAGTCGACATCTTTGGCTCTTTCCATGGATCGTTGATCCGCTGTTTCCGAGGGACACAGCGCACTGCCGATCGCTGCGCTGTGCGCTCTGGGAGCCGCGCATGCGTGGTTAGAATGGGAGGACGTCATATGACGTCCACCCAGAACGAGAGAACCACTTTGCGTCCATCATATTACTATATGACGGGTGGGAGGCGGTTAAAGAAAACATAAGTGAGCAGGCACTTTTATTTCCTATGGGGTTCATTTTCAACTATAGGTCATAACAGAATGACACAATCATAAAACAAAACATGGCAAAAAGCAAATAAATGAAATGACCCCTGTTAGAATGTCTGCATACCCTTAGTTCTTCATACTGTGTATTTCTCCCTTTAGCATCAATGATAGCATTCAGTCCTTTGTTATAGTTGTCTATAAGACCCCGAATTCTTGCAGGTGGTATAGCTGCTCATTCATCTTGGCAAAATGCCTCCGGGTCTTGCAAAGCCATTGGTCATCTTGCATGAACCACACTTCTGAGATCTCCCCAGATATATATTGATGATATTAAGGTCAGGAGACTGTGATGGCCACTCCAGAACCTTCACCTTTTTCTGCTGTAAGCACTGGAGGGTCAAACGCAGCTTTTGTGTAGAAGAATGCAAACTGTCTGCCAGTATTTTCTGATAACAAGTTGCATTCCTGTCGCCATCTGTTATCACAAAAGATTCCCTTTGCCTTTAGAGCTCACAACCCCAAAAACATCAGTGAGCCACCGCCATTCTTCACAGTGGGAATGGTATTCCTGACACTATAGGCCTTGTTGACCCCCTCTCCAAACATAGCACTTATGGCTGTGACTATAAAACTCTATTTTGGTCTCATCACTCCAGATTACAGTATGCCAGAAGATGTGAAGCATGTCAAGGTGTTGTCATGCATATTGCAACTGGACTTTTTTGTGGCATTGGTGCAGTAAAGGCTTCTTTCTGGCATCTCGACCATACAGCTCATTTTTGTTCAAGTATCATCATATTGTGCTCTTTGAAACAACCACACCCTCTTTTTTCAGAGCAGCCTGTATTTCTCCTGAGGTTACCTATGGGTTTTTCTTTGTATTCCAAGTCTACCTGACCTTGGTTTGGTATCAAGAGATCCCTGAATTTTTCACTTCTTAAAAAGTGATTGAACAGTACTGACTGGCATATTCAAGGCTTTGGATATCTTTTTATATGCTTTTCCATCTTCTAAAAAGCTCTATTTTCTTGTTACGCAGGTCGTTTGACAGTTGTTTTCTGCTCCCCGTGGCTCAGTATCTATCCTGCTCAGTGCATCCACGTGAGAGCTAACAAACTCATTGACTATTTATAAACAGACACAAATTGCAATTTAAAAAGCCACAGATGTGGGAAATTAACATTCAATTCTATTTTGACCCGTAGGTGTTACATTGTGTGTCTGTATGAAGTCCAAACATTCCAGGTTATATAAAATTTTGATTAAGGCCATTTGAGTGATTTCTGTTATCATTATTATTTAAAAAGGAGCCAAACAACTGTGTGATAATAAATGGCTTCATATGATCACTATCCTTAAATAAAAGACAGTTTTTGGCATGGATGAGGATGGACGCCACTCAAACCGAACCCCAGGAGTTAGAGAACGGGATATGGTAGGATGGCCTCAGCTGTCACTTTGGCCACAGTTTTTGGCATGATCAGTCATATTTTCAATAGCTATGCCAAAACATCGCGATTTCTGCCAGGGTATGCAAACTTTTGAGCTCAACTGTAATTATACAGAATACTTATAAATAATGCACTATAGTGGTTATGATTAAAAATGTAAAAATTGTTGATTTTCATTTAGTAACAGCACAGAGTTAAAAAGTAATAATATAGAGAACATTTGTGTCATTTGTTAGTCCGTCTGACAAAAATTTTATTTAACCTCTTGCCCACCATGCAGTGGCAAGGAGGATGGGCTTTAATGTCCACACACCACACATATTCTTGATGACGGCTGAGATTTCTGTGCTAAGAACGTTCTCACTGTGTGCTCCTAGCACAGTTATTAAGCTGTCACAGACAGCTCCCAGTCTGTGATTATGATTGGGAAATGGTGTGATGGACTCCCGATCATGTGACCACTGTGATATCCAATCATAATGATTATGGGAACGGAAAGTCCCACACCCTGCAGCTAAAGGGGTGCTGAGAGGGGCAGTTATGGGTTAAAGGAAGCCTATACTAAAAGTATTGCTGACTTCTACACAATGCTAGTTGCCTAGCTGCCTGGATCAATGATTCAAAAACTATTAGGGATCATTCTTGTTTTGCTATTCTGATGCTTCACATTTACGCATGTTTTTCCCCACATTAACGTGTGTTGTTGCCCCCTTTTTAAATGAATGGGTCGCTAATGTACCAGAATGGACAAAAAAAGACATGCAGTGTTGTGTCCAATGCAGCACACAGTAGCTTGTGGTTTGTCTCAACGCGTTTGCATTGTTGGTGCATTGCGTTAGTGCACTAGGGTGCCATTCACAATGAATGACACCACCACATGCTAAAGTGTGTTACTGGAATAGATCATTGTACAAGGGCTCTTAAAGCCAGGCAAAAGCCAGGAGACTAGTACTCTTATAAGCAGGTCAGCAGTGTCCAGCCCTATATTTGTCTCAATACAAATTTTCATTAAACATAGAATTATGCAGGAGTTAGCTTCTAATGGTGTCATATTAAAGTCTTTTTATTTTGGTCCACAAAATACTAGACATTTCCATGCAATTATAGAAGCTGTATCTGACATACACTGCTTTCACATACAGAGCATGGGGTATGGAGGGCTGAATCAAATCATTCTACTTGAATCAAAAAAAATCTCCTTAAATTTAGCATAGCTGGCAGAACAACAAAAATGTCTGCTTTTGATATACCAATACATCAAAAGCTGCATATTCCTCATGCCAATCATACGTTTATCATTATACATCTCTTTTATCTGTGGCTCTTTGTTTTGTGAGTTTGTTGGCCCTTACCACACCCCAGGAATTCTGTACATATGAGGGTGAAGAGACAGCCTGCAGACCTTCGAGCAGAAGAAAAGTGAGCTCTGCTGTTGCGTCACTAAGATATGTGAAGTATGAAAGGTAGTTAGTTAATACTTCACACCTTTTGTTTTCATAGAATCTTCAATGCATTTGATAATCACCCATATGATGCACACCCAAACTTAACATTCTGTAGCTCACAAATCCGCACATACAGCACATATTCTTGTATCACCCACTGGCCATATTGTTAGCATTATCCAAGACAGCTAGAAAAGGAAGCATAGAAAAAGAAAAAAATATGATTTTTTCTTTCTGTGTAAATAAAGTATAAAAAAAGTCCAAAAATGCACAAAAAGTGCTAAGAATAATAAGTGATATTACACATCTCTGAATATTAAGAATGACGGCACCGGTCACTTGATTGGAGGTAGATTTTTGGTAGATTTCATGGCACGGCACAAGTACATGAAGAATAGTTTCTGCTTAAAACAGTCCTTGGTCTTTTGCATGTCTTTCCATCGTTCTGGGTGACTTCAAGCTCTGGTTTAAAGAAGAAATGTTTCAATGATGTATTCTTAAATCAAAAAAGGTATCATCTGTTAGTCCTCATGCACACTGGACATTTTTACAGCGGCTGTTTTTTTGGCTTTTGACATTTTTTTTCTATAGCCAGTAAACCCCCCAGCATGTTATCCTATGTGTTCATGCACACATAGACTGTAACATTTTTTGGCTGGGGTGTTTTTTGGCTGCAAAAAAAACCCAGGGCTAGTGGGTTTCTAGAGGAGTTTTTTAGCTGTAAAAATGCTCTAATTCTGAAAAACACGGTAAATTGATGTAAATCACAGCAAACCAGCGTTTTTTGCACTTTTTGTGACCAAAACAAATATTTTTTGGTCAAAAAAATTTGAAAAAACACGGCAAAACGCTGCTAAACACTAATGCAAACATGCTAAAAACCGCTGAAAAACTCACGTTTTTAACGTGACTTTATACTGCTAATGTTACCAGCGTTGTTAAAATGCCCAGTGTGCATGGAGCCTTACTCTCCTCCAAATTTCCAAATCCTTTTTTTTTTTCTTTTTTTTGATGTTGTGGTTCTACTTCGTGTTAGAGGGTGGCTACATTCCTTCTCCATGGTCCCCCTGTATGTAGGAGAGTGCTTCTGGAGAATATGAATAATGAATGTCACCTAAAAGCAGGGTTTCTCAACTAGGGTTCCAAGGAACTCAAGGGTACCTCCAGAGGTTTCTAGGGGTTTTGTTGAGCAATGGGCAATTTCTGCCTCTCAGATAAGCTCCCACTGACACCATTGATCATTCTAGTTATCTGTAAGGGGGTCATTCTTCCTAATTACCACAAGTATAGAGCGCATTCTTCCCACTGACCATCATGCTAATCTACAGTATCATGAGATGTAGATATAATGATTTTTAGCAGAGGTTCCCTGACACCAGAAAGTTATTTCAAGGGTTCCTCTGTATGGAAAGGGTTGAGAAAGGCTGCCTTAAAGTACACTATATTGTCAAAAGTATTGAGAAACCCCTCCAAATCATTAGATTCAGGTGTGCCAATCACCTCCATGGCTACAGGTGTATAAAATCAAGCACATAGTCATGCAGACTGCTTCTACAGACAATTGTGAAAGATCCTCCCAGGGGCTCAGTGAATTCAAGCGTGGTAATAGGTTGCCACCTTTGCAATAAGTCCATCCATGAAATGTCCTTGCTACTAAATATTCCAGGG